GTAATATTATTAAAATTTGGATAATTACAGAAAATATTCAAAATATCTTGCGATTTACGTAATTTTCCATGTAATATAAGATATATTTACACAATAAATGCTAATTAACATAATATTTGTGGAATTACATAACTTCTGTGAAATTGCCTGATTTTTTATATTTACTGGAATAATCATGTAATTTTTACATTTAATATATGTGTAAATTTACAAATTTGTTTATAGTGTGAGTGGCTTGTGTCGTATAATATCCAAATATGAGCAAAAAAACAATACAAGTAACTGTAAAATTCATTACCGTTACAGTTACCAAAGAAAAAAGTAACGCAGTTACCAGTAAAGTTACCAAAAAAGTAACTTGTAACTGTAACTTTGTTACAATTAACGAGTTACTTCCATTCCCTGACCAAACCATTTTCTTGTGCATTAAAAAGAGTAAAAGATGTATTATATCCCTAGCATCTATTGATTCATATACGTTTTATATACGTTTTTTATACGTATATAATGTTCAACAAACATTTAAAGAAGCTTCTATCAACACATGTGATCCTGAGGGCAGTGCGACAAAAAATCACTTTTTTGTTTTCTTTCCGAAATGTGACAGTATATTTCCTGAAGATTTTTTCGCACTGAACAAAATCATTTTTTGTGATCTTGTTCAGCTCCTTTTTCGATGCCGCCTTTAACTCCTCAATCGTAGCGTAGCGTCGTCCTTTCATGGGCCTCTTCAGTTTCGGGAACAAGAAAAAATCACAGGGGGCTAGATCTGGGGAATACGGTGGCTGCGGCAGAGTCCAACAGCTCCTTAGCAATGTTAATGCGATGCTGTTTTTGGTCGAAATTGAGCAATTTTGGCACGAATTTCGCGGCGACCCGTCTCATGCCCAAATCATTGGTAAAAATCGAATGGCACGAGCCAATCGATATGTTTAGGTCCTCAGCAACTTCTCTGACGGTGATTCGACGATTGGCCAATACTATTTTCTTCACTTCATCAATGTTTTCGTCTGTTGTTGACGTGCTCGGGTGTCCGGCACGCTCTTCGTCGTTCACATCTTCTAGGCCCTCTGAGAACATTTTGTACCACCGATAAACGTTGCTTCGGTCCAAGGTAGCTTCACCATATGCCACAGTCAACATTCGGAATGCGTCCGCGCACTTAATTTTGTTTTTCACACATAATTTGATACAGATTCTTTGATATATTTTTTGGAATAGGCAAAAATCGAAGACGAACCAAAACACGTACAAGCAAAGCAGCTGTCAAAAATTAACTGAACATTCAAAATGGCCGAACTTGTCGGCATAAGTGAGAGACATGAGTACCAACATAACGCCACAAAAAAATCGAAAATCGAATATACGTAACCCGCGGAAATTCAAAATTCGCGATACTTTTTGAACAGACCTCGTACGTTTTATATACGTTTTCTATACGTATCTAATGTTCAACAAACATTTAAAGAAGCTTCTATCAACATGTGATCCTGAGGACAGTGCGACAAAAAATCACTTTTTTATTTTCTTTCCAAAATGTGAGAGTATATTTCCTGAAGATTTTTTCACACTGAACACGATGTTATTGCCAGAATTAGCCCAGCACATTAGGATTTTGAGTAAATTGGAATGAAATAGGCAAAAATAATGTTTTTGGTCAAAATTAACAAAATTTTGCAACAAAAAGGAAACTGATTTTTAAATAAAATGAGCGGCACGTGAAAATATAATTCAATAGTGTTCAAACGAACTTCGGTTTATGATAGTACGACTATTTTTTATCAAGTAACAGCTGTTTGAATTTTAGATTTTTTGTAACATTCCATGTTTACAATGTTATCCACACACACAATATTTAGTCCATATTTCTGTCAATTGATTAGAAATGCAGCATCGTCGAATAGTATGCGCCATTGCCAACAGAGGGATGCATTCAGTTAAATTTCTCGATTAAAATAATGTAGAACAGAATAAAAGACACCAAAGAGAACAAAAGCATTAAAAGATTTTTCAAGTGTTTTAATAAAATAATTTTTTGAAGTGAACCTCAAGGGCTCTAAGATGAAACATAATTAGAGAAAACATAATACTTTTTTGAAATATTTACCGAGTAAATGAAATCTCCTAATACTTTATAATGTTATCACGCTTATTACACTTAACCAGGATTTCGATCACATTTTGTTTACGTTCAGATAGCTCGACAACACTTGTTCAATTAAAATTAGGGATGCACCGAATCGTAAAATTACTGAATACCGAATATCGGATATCCGGTATCCGATGGAATATCCGAGAAGGTAACTTCTTCAAGTCGGATATTCGACATTTTCCGGATATCCGGAATTCTGAGACAGTGTCTTTTAAAAAAGAAAAAAGTCTATAGAGTAAAAGATCGTAACTTTGTACCAATGTATGAGATATTATAACATCATGTGAATATGCATACTTATTTCTAAAAAATTAATGATATCAAATTTCAACCGGATATATTCCCGCATATTAATGATATTCTAGCTTTCCGGTCGGATAGTAAACAAGTGCCAGATAGTACCAGTTACCGGATATTTTCCGGATATCCGGTGCATCTCTAGTTAAAATGCCGACAGATTACTTGCAACTTATGGGAGTAAGACTTTAGGCGAAAACTGTTTCCATGGTATTGCCGTGTGATTTCTAACAACAAATACGATCGATTTACAAGAGGGCAATTGTTGCTCATAAAAGTTTGTAACGTTCTTCAAAAATCTTTAGGAAATGTAATATCTCACTTCTGACAGATTTTTCTTGTAGCATTGCGTTATAGATTCTGTACCTGTATTAAAACTGTCAGGAAGATCAAAGCTGCATTGAACATCTGAAAAAAATATATTATTCTTTCATTATACGTAATGAAAATATTTGTGTTAAATTATTTATAAGAATAAAAGAAGATTTTTATACATAAAATAACCATGGAAGATAAACAAATGCATTTAATTT